ATGACAGAGCGGGGCCCGGGGGCGCGGCGGGTGTGAGGGCGGGGGGCGGCCGCTGCCGCCTCAGCTGCATTTTCAGGCCGCCGCTTCCTGCCACCAGAACCATGGCCCGTGACGTGCGGGATGCAGCCTGGGGAGCGGCTCCGGCTGAGGGACACGGTTGCTCCTCAGTGACATGGAGCTCCGTGGTCTTAAGGACCAGAAATCCCTCTAGTCTGCCGATAAGCCATGTGGTGTACCGGTGCTCGGTGCTGGTTACATAATACTGCATCTCTTAGAAACAGTATTTTCGAGCCTTAAAAATGATGGCTGTGCCCTCGGGGCGCTGGGTTTGTTTATCATGGGCCCACAGGCCAGCTCTGTGTGGCAAACCCTGGGGCCACCCTTGGACTGTGCCAGCATCACTGAAGGGTCATCCCCGGTCCCTCAGAGCACTGTCACACCAGCTGGGGTTTGTGACGGGGACAGTAAAATCCACTCAGAGGCAGATGGACCTTGCCCCATCTGAAGGGCACTGGAGAAAAAGAAATGATAAGATAAAAAACTGTCCACAATGCAATGTTTATAAACCTGCTTTTTTATTTTTTTTTTTTTTGTATTCTTCCAAAAGAGCCATGTGTTATATTGATGGTAACAACCATTCTGAGCTGTGTTAATGGGTGCTTTATATAACTGGATGGAAAAATCCTTCCTCTCATTTCAGATATTTAGTTTCCTCTGTTTACCGGGTGTTGGAGCTTCCTACGTGGAGAAAGCTCTCAAGGAGCAAGTCACATTTTCCAGGGTGCCGTGTACATGGAGAGATGAGTAAGTGCTGTAGCCTGAGTCATAGGGAAGGAGGGAGTTCTGGGTAAAGGCAGAGAGAGAAATTCTGGAATGAAGGTGGCAGAGCAAACAATATCGTCTTCTCCTCCACGTTTGCTACAGGTGCCGTCCCACACCACTCAGTCAGAGTTGTATTCCTTATCTTTTAATTATCCTTGTGAAAATACCCAAGGTTTATTGTTGCTAAATTTGTCAGTGGCTCATCTGGGCTGAGGTTTGTTGTGTCTCAAGGCGGACGAGTTATGCTTGGGATCAAGTTAACAGATAGGCTCAGCAGATAAACATCCGGTATCAGACTCAACTAAGTATTTGAGGAATGTGTTTGAGTTTGATTACAGAAAATTGCAGTCCAATTGATTCCAGGTGTACCTTAGCTCTTCCACCATCTGATCCAGGCAGGAAAAAACAGATCCGGGCAGGAAAACACGCCTCAAACACGAGCTCAGCCTCCAGGCAAGGCTTTTATTTTAAGTCGTTGAGACTGTTGGAGATTTCTCTGACCTGAGAGAAGCTCAGCTCTTACAAGAGAGCTTTGTTACGGACCTATCACAAAACAAAGCAAACCAAGTTTGCTGCTCACTTCTTACTGAGAAGTGAACACGGAAGAGGTGGAAGCATAAATTTATAGGTGGCTGTGGCAGTAGGAGCCAAAATCCAGAGCTGTTTTTATTGCAAGGAGGGAAGTGATGGAAAAGGTGCTGTGTCTCCAGAAATTGAGGGAATAACCAGTGCAAGTCATTGGTGTATTACTCTGGGCAGTATTGAGGGGTTCCAGCTGCACCTTGTAGTGTGGGAGCAGGGATGTCTGGGAGGAAGCAAGCGCATTTTGGGAATGCAAATCCAACTTTGGGCTGTTAATACAGCTGGTGAGCCCTGGCTTGTGAAGGAAGGTCTGAATGTGTGGGGGGTTGCTCTGGCTGATGTGCTGGTGTGCTCTGCAGGGTCGGTGCTGGAACAGCCCTGTGTGCCTGTGCCATGGGTGGAGCACTCTGGCACAGAGCCAGGAGTGACAGGGGTTTAATGCCACTGACAGTAAACAGGTCATACCCAGAAAATGCCATCTGAGCAGGAGCCTGAGCCATCCCCAAAGGAAGAGTTCTGGAAAGAGCTGAGCTTCATCTCCAGCCTTCTAGGGAGTGATTTAGCTGCTTCAACCCATTTCTGTTATTGCTGAGAGGTAGGATGGGAGTGTCCAGGAACACCCTAATGCTTTGGAGACAGGAGGATCTCTCTCTCTGACCAGTGTGGCTACTGCAAAAGGGGACAAATGTCCATGCTGGAAACTGCAAGCACAGGAAGAACAGAGCTTTGCCTTGTGCTTTGGGCAGGCAATTACCTCTGTGCAGAGAGGCCAAAAAAAGACTGATGAAAATTCCACCTTTTTAAATGCAGAGATTGGAAAGGTACCAGGCAGAGAGAACTCCACGTGCTGCTGAACCAGCCCGAGACACCCCCGTGCAACACCATGGTGACAATCACCTTTTGTTCTTCACATCCCTCTCTCTTTCGGCTGTTGCTGACAAAACTCCGAACTCTTTTTCTGCTTCATTTCCCCGGCCCAGCTTTTCTCCTGCTCAGCAAACGTGCTGTGTGCTGAAGGACTCCCGTGGACTTTGCATCCTTGAGGAAGCCTTTTTGCCAGAGGAAACGTCAGGGTGTTCATCTATGGCAGTGTGTAGCAGGAGCAAAAAGGAAAACACCTCTTAGGCAGGGCTTGATTGCCAGCTGAAAATAAGCAAAGTGCCTGTCAGTGACATGTGAGCACAAAAAAGCTTTGCAGATGGAAATAAAGGCAATGCTTTTTCCTCTTCTGCTCTGCCTTCCCTGCAGTGCCAGTGAGGCTTTGGCTCGTGGGCTGCAGAGCCATGCTGTTCCAGAGCCTGTTGGATCTGGAGGAGCAGTGCTCTTTGGACTCTTACATATTTTCTGAAAATGGTGTCTAAAAGAGTAATGGGCACTTTGCAGAGCTCTAAATAGACCAGCCTCTGTCCTGAGGAGCTGGCAATGTATGGAGGCAAGTGCCAGGGATGGGAGAACGGCTGCATCATACAAACCAGCTGGGAAGGTGGCACGTGGCCCACCTGATCAGTATTTTTCCATCACATTCTCATTCAGCTGCTCCTTGCCAACTTCCAGCCCTGTCACGCTCCTCAAAAGCTTCTACTCTGGGTTTATTTAGCATGCTATTTATTTCCTAATTATAGAACTGAAGTGACTGACCTCAGCCCTTCTGGGTACTGCTGTCCACGTTTTTGTCCCCTCTAGACCTCTGGTCTCCTCTAATGGCTGAAAGCTGTTGCTAGAGAATTTCTGACTCACTTTTTTGTTTTTCTCCCAAATTCGAGAGGACTCAGACTGCTTATACAGTGAGCTTCATTGCTCATTTCAGAGCAGATGGGCTATTGCATTCCCAAATTCTTTAGGCCAAAAGAGAAATGCCACTGAGCTGAGCACTTTACCAGGCTGTGTTCTGCTGCCTCTGTCCAGTTTCCCAGCAGCCAGCTCACTGCTTTTATCCCACATCCAGCCACAGCTGCTGGCCAGAGGAAGAGGTTTTGAAAACCACTCCCTGGCATCAGCAGTGCTGCTGGTCCTGCTTTTGGTTGCTCCATGGCACTTGAACCCTGCCTGGCTCCACAAACAGACTCAGTGGTCTGGGAGAAGGATCCATCTGTATCTCCCTGAAAGCAATGTGTGCCACAACACTACTAAATTATCCAGGGAGTCTGGTTAGGTGAAATTCCTACCTTCAGGGTACCTTCTGCACCAGAAGCTGCTAGGCTGAGCAGACCTGTTCCCTGCAGCCACCTCTAATGCCGCCTCTTGTTCAGTTAGAGCTGTTTCTGCCCCTTTCACACATTTTGGTAACTTAAGATACAGCTGCAGGAGCCAGGGGGTGCTTTGTTGTGGCACCTGTCCATAAAGCCACCTGCAGAAGCAGGGGGACTCTATGCAGGGAAGGTGGCATCAGAGCAGCAGGTGTCTGGCAGGCAGTGAGAGCAGGGAGAGGAGGCATCTCTGAGGGAAAGGAGGGTGGATTCAGATAAATGGATGTACTAGAGCCAGAAGGATGTTTGAGCTTCTCCTGGAGAGTTTCCAAGATGTCATACTGAATAAAGGAAACTGATGGTCTTCTGTTTAATCCCAAGTGGTCTGTCTGACATTTGCCACTATAGTGTGCTCCTGAGGTTGGAGTCTGGAAAGACTGTGATTGTCCTGCCTCAGAGAGCTGGCAGGGAAGTCTGCTAAGGCCACAGTTTTATGGGTTTTTTTCACTGGCTGCTTGCGAAATGCTTTTGGTGGAAAAGTTTCCATAGAAGTAGTGGTGCCTGAGGAGAATGCAGGGTTGCAATCCTGAAAACTGAAATGCTCAGTGAACTGAACAATGGTATTAGCAGCTCCTTGTAAAAATCCAAATTTTAGTATTGCCTGAGGAATGGGGAAGGGCCTTTTCCTAGAGAGCAATATTCATGGAAATAAATTGAGCGGAGGAGGAAGATTGCTTTTATGCCAAAATAGTGGGAATTGGGATAGATCTGGGAGGAAAGGAGGGAGAACACAACAATGTTTGCATGACGGTGAGTACAAAAGAAATGGTTACAGTTGTGATTTGGGAGAATGAGTGATGCTGTTTGGGAGCAGAGAGCCAAAGCTGTTTCCTGGAGGTGTAGAAGGGAAGCAGGGGTGAGAGGAACAGGCTTGATGCTGGTGCAGGGAGGTGGTTTGTGGGTAAGGCCGGTGGGGTCCATAGGAGCATGGTTTGGTGGGGTGGGTAGGTGAGCAGGAAGCTGCAAAGAGCAGTGGGATGGCTGGGATGAAAGACTAATCCAGAGTATCTCCATTGCCTGATGGCTTCCTGGAGATGCACTTGCAGTCACAACCAAGCAGTGAAGGTCTGCCACCGTGGCCAGGGGTGAGCTGGGGGTGACCACCCTTTTCCATGCAAAAACACCTGGAAGGCTGCAGGTCAGTGTCCCAAGAAAAAAAGTCAACTGCAGAGCTACTGCACTCCACTCCTCTGGCTTTGCAGGAGCAGCACTTCCCTTTGTACCACCTCTGAGCTAAAGTATTACATGGGCTGGAGGAAATAAACAGTGCTGCTGATGCTGTGTAATGACCCCATCTCCAGGTTGACTCCACTTTGGCTCATTGCAGGCTCCACCTTGCAAAACTGATGTCTCAGTTTTTGGGAAATGACATCTGATTTTCCACACATCTCAGAGTGGACCTGCTTTAAGGTCCTGACCTCCAGAGTTCCCATGAAATCCATCCTGGGATTTGGCAGTAACACTGCAGGAGGATTTTGTCAGAGTTATGGAGAGCTGAACATGCAGGGAGCAGGGCTGGATGTATAGGGAGTGTGGTAGGGTGGGAGGATGCGTGGCTGAGTGATGATGGTGAAGGTCTTTCCTTCCTTCCTTCCAGCTCAGGAAAGAGCTACCGCCCTGGTGGAGGCTAGAGGGTGCTGTGCTGCAGGGAATGGGTGTCCTCCTCCTTTCCTGCCCAGCGTCCCTTCAGAGCCAGGTAAAAATTTGCAGGAAATGCTGCCTCTGAGCTGAGATGAAGACTAAGGTGCTGGCTGGAGTTGTGAACAAACTCCAGGGCTTTTTTTCAGATCAGAATAATTTATTAGTTCATTACTTAGCAGGCAGAAAGTGACATACTTGCAGAAAGGAAGGATGGCTTTTCTCAGATGGGTGTAAAAGCAAAAAGTGGGTAAAAGGAGTGAGAAAATGAGGACCAGATCAGAAGATAAGGAAGCTGAGTGAAACAAAAACAGAGAATAGAAGGGTAGAGAAAGAAAATAGAAGATTAAACCAGTGCAGAGAATCACATCCACTGCTGTGTCCAATTAAGGGCTTCAGATCTGCTGAATAATGAAAGGGAGATTTACTTGGGAGAAAAATAAAGGAGCACTTCATGCTTGTGGCAGCTGAGGCTGCAAAGCCCCTGGCTGATGGGGCAGGATCAGCTCCTGTTTACCCAGCTGAGGTGTGGCTAATCCTGAGCACCGCACAGAGCAGAGCTGAGGAGTTAGAAGAGGCCGGGGGGAGCACGGGAGACAGGGCTGTGTTTGTACAGCAGCTGACAGGCAGCTGCAAGCCCAGGCAAAAACATGACATGCTCCCAAACAAGCAGCTCTGTGAGCCGAGGGCTGCTCCCTGGAAAGCCTGCCAGGAGCCACAGGCAGCAGGAGCAAACGTGCCTCCTGCGTGGGGCCACACGTGCTCTGAAAAACACAGCCCTGCTGCCTGGCCTGTGGTTGGGGGTCACTGTCCTCACAGCTGGCAAGCTGCTCTCCCTGCCTGCCTGCCTGCCTGCAGCAGGTGGGGCAGATGTGCAGGCGTAGCTGGAGCAGGAGGAAGCACAGGTAGATAAATATGTTCTTACCTTCTCAGGTCTTGCAGAAATCAACCTACCAAAAGTGAGAAGATGCAGGCAGGTAACAGAGGAGGAAGTCTGCAAATGAGCCCCATTCACAGCTAAAGGGACTGCACCTCCCTCAGGGCCATGGGGAGGTTCTGAGGTTCTTTTCAGGTGAATGTATGTACAGCACAGTGTCAAGAAGCCAGCCCTGCTCACAGAAATGAGCCACATCGGATCTTGATGCAGGTGACCTCCCTTCTGTTTTCTACCTCAGTACCGAGGTGGGTTAGCAAGGACTGAAAGAGAGCTTCCTAAATTGGACAGGATTACCACACAAGCCCCTAATGACTGCCCTGGCCCCACCACATGTGCTGAAGGATGTGCTGGGACTGCATCCATAGGTCCCTGGGGGACATCTTAAAGAGGTACAAACAAAGATGGCCCAGAACATGGACCAAAGGGAATGCTGTGGTAGGCTGCAAAGCCCTGTTAGGAGCTGAGGGACTGTTGAACCCACATGTTTTCACTCTGTGTCTACTCTGGATGTCTGCAGCAAGAGTCACTGGTTTTACTGCTCAGGGCAGCAGCCCATTGCCAGCTGGGGACATGTAGAGACACTCAGCACTGGAGCTCCAGCTGTTTAACTCTCCAAGAACACTGGGAGAATGCAGAATAGGTAGGATCTACTATTATTAACTGATCTGTGGGGCAGGACAAGGAGTTGAGAGGGAACAGTGAAATGTGGAAATGCCTGGAGGGGGAGTTGATAGCAGAAGGCAAATGGGTTCATGCTCTAATAAAGGCTCTGTTGGAGGCTGGACAAAGTAGTTGATGTGATGGGAGATCCCACTGAGAAGGAGGGGTGATTGCAGAGGACATATGGAGTATGACTAACTGAATGCATGTTGTAAAAACATGTTAGTATAAACCTCCTGGCAGGGAGGGAGAAACACTTGGAGACTTTACAAGGGTCACACAACCAGGTGCTAGGAAATATCCCTTGGAGGAAATTTCTGAAGCTGGTAGGGGAGATGGTCAGATACCCCTGCCCATCAGCCCACTCTTGTTTCTTCTAGGGAACTCTTCACTGCTCCGAACAGTGTGTATGGGAACTGTATGGAGACATCTGTGGATGTGCAGAGCTATCAGCTGGCTCCTTGCCTGGAAGTTGTTGTCACTGCTGAGAAAGGAGGTAGCACAGCCCCAGGCTCCCCAGAGTGCTCGGGGAGGACACAGCTGCCTGGCCATCCGTGGCATCCCCTGCTCCAGCCTCGTGTCCCTTTGGGTGCGTGCTGCCCCTGGGACTGGCTACGTGCGCTTCTCCATGGCGGGGCTGGACACCCTGACCAGGCAACAGCCCGGTGAGACCGTGGCGATGGCTCCAGCAGATGTGTTTCATTGAGGACACATGTCTGGCTTGGGGATTGTTTTTATTTCCTTTGGA